ATAATAATTATAAAGTTTTTTAATAAACAAAATTAATATTCTGATTAGTTTTAATTATTTGGACTTGGTGAAAACTTAGAGTTTAAATTTTGATGGCAGAAACTGACGGAATTGAAAAAAGTTATGGGATACTGCTGTACCTCATTGTGTAGTTAACGTTCCAGAAATCGAAACTTGTCAATGCAAAATTAAATCTCAGATAACCGCTACGAAAAGCTGTGGATGATGCAAGAATGTTTTGAGTTTATTTTCAGATTCTACGCACAAAAATATGTTAGAAATAGATCAGAAGTTTCATGTCACAAATTATGCGTTAAGTGTATAATTTTTCTTTTTTCTTGGAATTATATATCGAATCGCGAGAGTACATTGTGAAGCCGACGTTCCTCGTGACGCAAGAAAAACGTTGGAGCATCTGCAGCTAAACGACTACATCCGTTTTCTCGTTGTCAGCTGCCTCTTTTTTTCGCGTTTCGTGGTTTTCCCGCGGTCGGCCACACCTCCGCCTCCTCTATCGGGGGACGGGGGTACGGGGACTCCCGCTTCTTTCGTTCGAAGCCTTTAATTTGGCACGTGTTGCACTCTTGGCTATTGTTGCCATGATTGTCGGGTTAGCCAGCCGGTCGGCCGGTGCCCGTCTTCCTTCGCATCGTCGCCGATCTTTCGCATGGCGTGAGCGAAGTGCATGGTGATAATGCGCGGTTCTCGGCTGTGCGTGGCACGCGTGTATGTTCCCCGTCGTTGCTTTTCGCCTATCTCGAGTCGTTACTCGCTAAATATTATAATACCGCGAGCGCACGGTCCGCGCCGTCTTGAATATTGTTAATGCAATCGGGAATTGATTTACCTCGGTCCTCGTTTGGTATTCATAGACGAAGAATAGCATGCCGTATTATTCGTATTGCCTATGAATACCAAAGACCGTCGGTCCGAGTGAATTTTTTCGCAGTTAAGGTCTAAAACGATCGACGCGATTGTCACTTACGTGAACCCTAATCACAGATATCTTCTTACAGCTAAGAATCAAAGACTGTGTTTCCCGCACTTTATTGCCATGTGATTTCCTTGTTATCCGTATATAATTATTTAAAAGAAACTGTTTTAAAAATTCATTCACACAGAGAAATACATACTGCATGCAAGTAAATGTTACTTGTTTCAAGTATTTCATAAGTTCATATATTCGCAAATCTATTATCTATTTAGTGAAACCTCCCTCGGCGCGTTGCGAAATGTGTCCAAGCACCCATGGTCTGTCAAAAAATTGGTCTTTAATTCTTTTTCTATAATTTGCACCAGATGAGGAGGAGCAACGGTGGAAACATAGGGTGGGGCATACATGGACAGCAGATCTCAAAGAATAGCAACCTTTAACTTTGAGATACTGACAGCTGTACTTTGGTACAGTAACAACCCAGATAACATGCATGTCTAAAAGATGTCGGAAAGATATCTAAAAGACATCTTATGTAATATTTTGTTGCATAAGACGTATTTGGAACGTATTTTATCTGGGAATGTTTCTCTCTGTAGTCGCCGTGCACTCGGGATCGCGCCAGAGATGTCGCTTTCGAATATCTCTGAGCGTTATTTAGGGAAAGGAGAGTGTCGTGAACGTGGAGCGTCAGGTAGCTCAGGTTAGAGCAGTCGCCCGGCAAGCGAGACTCGGGTTCGAGTCCCGGCCTAGCAAACCGCGCTTTCGATATTTTTCTCTCTGTGGAACGAAAAAATACATATGTCCCGAACGCACGACGTCCCACCGCCACTTAGTATGCTCTCCTCCCTCTATGTTCATCATAAGCGTCAAATTTACTCAAAATATATCCTCAATTCTAATAAAGAATAGTTTACATTGGTAATAATATCGCTAATAAATTGGGTGTTTTTAACAGTTTTACTGACAAATAGTTGGTTGCCTCGTTTAAAATTACTAAAAGCAATTGTTTTCAACAAATTATCCAAACGAGTTAATCATATTTTATTATGAATTTTGTTATCTTGGAACAAAAATGTTAATATTTAGAGAAAGAAATAAGAATTCGCAAAAGAAGATATCAATCAAAAAATAGGAAAAAGGGGCAATTGGAGTTCAAGCACAGAACTAATATTGCTATGTACCATATGGATAAAAACCTTCCTTGTGTTAGGAAATCGTGTAATATTTATTGAAACTGAATAATCAATATAAAACAATCATACGTTTCGGCTCAAACATGAACCCTCTTCAGTGATAATAAAAACTCAAGGTTTACGATACGAACGCATTACAATTAGTTAAAGACCTGAATAAATTGACATGAATGTTAATCGCAATATTAAAGCTGACAAGACCGTTACCGAAATAATATTAAGTAGTTAATTAATATTGAGAAATAGCCGTCATAACTATAAAAAATCATAAAATAAAAAAAAGTAAGTAAAATTGAAATATAATAAATAATTAAAACTGACAATATAAAATACCTTTGTTGAGCTCAGCTAAAAGTAAACCGATCCTATCAACGATAACATCGCCACGTCTACGAAATACAAATAATTATAGATTTATATATCTAGCATTAACATTGCGGAAACGACTTGTGGAAGAGAAGGAAACTAAAATTAATAATTATTGTTAATAATATTTGTTTTCAACATTTTGCTAAAGACAAATGTTACTGACAAAACTCATTTATTTTGTTAACATGGTGATAACTTTGTCACTAACAAAACATTATTTTTGCAAATCATTACTTGACGGTCTAGATCAAAGAGTGTTGGAAGCAAATATTATTGGAAGAAAATTGAACTAAATATACGGAGTATCCCAGAACAACCTTTGAAGCTCTCGTGGAGATACGGATTGAGGTAAACATAAAAGTCCTATACCGTTTTATGATATTCGCAATAATAATTGAGATATTAATTAAAGAAGATATATGAATGATTACGAGAGATATGATAAATGAACTGTAATGACGATGCCATCATGTGTTTGTACATTAAGTCAAATTAAATAAAAAAGTCTTCTACCATTTTCCTATTAACTTTGTAGGTTTTTAATTATTAATTAAAGAAAATTGGCAGATGGTTGTTCGTGATAATATACATTAATGTTCTCTAATAACTAAAAATCTACAAAGTTACTAGCAGATGTCGCCACTACAGCTCATCTGACCATCCACAAATTTTCTTTCATTAATATCTCGATAATTATTGCAAATATCGCAAAACGATATAGGACTTTTATGCTTTCTTTAATCCATACTACTTCACGAAAGCTTCTTCTGGAGATTATTTTAGGACACCCTGTACTATTAACTCTCTGCATTCGATAGTTTTTCCGCCATAGGGAACTGGCAACTCGAAGGTGTTTTAACAAAAAGTTGATGAAATTTTTTACAGCTAACACAAATAAATCATACATAAATTAATGGATAGAACTATTGTATTTCAGTACTATCAGGATTAAACATAAACAGTTATTGTCGTCTCTCACTCGTCATTCGAGTTACTGCGTCAAATCAAGTGGTGACTGAGAGTCGCCTCTCGAGCAAAAGGTTAATAATATTTATTTTGTCTTAACTTGACTGATCGTATTATTAGAGTGCTATTTTATATATCGTGCGCGTACGACAGATATTGTGTCAAACGTGCCGATTGATTGTCGGATAGAGCATTTACAAGATTCTTAATATTTCAAAATTATATAATCTCTTTCTATTAATATATATAATAATCTCTTTCTATTAATATTCTATTAAATTATATAATTATATAATCTTATTATGATAATCTCTTTCTTAAAAATACGATCAAATTCATAATTTCTTCTTTTTCTGCTGGGAGAAATTGAAGAATTTACAACTACACCAGCTACAGTGATAACTATTTCTTTCTCGGATGCCATTGAATTTAAATATTGTAAAATTTTTGTATAGCATATATTTGTTAATAACAATGTTATTAACCGTTTTACTACTTTGTTATAAACGTTTGAAAATATTTTCTCGCTAATAGTATTGCTATTAGCAGTTTAATCGTAGTAAACAGTTTTTCGAATCTTGACATTTATATTTTTCACTATGTTAAAAACATATTTTGTTAAAAACATACAACATACAATATGTCTGCGGAACATAGTTTTGTTAAAAATATTGTTGTTATCAGCTTTTTGTTATTGTTACATTGTTACTGTACATTGTTACTGTTACTTTTTTTTGTGTAAACCAGTCTTAAATGTAGTATTCCAATCAAGAATACTAAATTGAAACAATAATTCGACTTGCTTACATTTGCTACATAGCTACATAGAATTAACTAACATTTTCTTCGATAAAGTTTTATATTTTTGTAAAAAGAATGTGTTATATTTTTGTAATACATGACAAGCTTTTCTGAAATTTGTGATGAGTATATTTTAACAGTATTATCAAAAAAATATTTCTTGTTGAAGACAACCATTACTTAAGAGGAGAAAAGTGAACTGAGTAATGGTTTTTCTAGCAGTAGAATGATATTTTTCTCTGTGCATGCACAGAGTGCGCGCGCGCACGCAGCACGCTAAAATACAATAATAGTCGCATAAAGTAGACTCCCCTCGCGAGATATTCCAATTAATTTCACACCAATTTATGTCTTGGTCGATCGACAGAGTCGATGCAGATTGACAGGTGAAGCAGTTACATCGAAGCAAGCAGGGATTAATTAGGTTAATCAATCGATATTTCGCGCTATGTTCGCACCGAGTATGCCACACGTAGTGTAAATACCGTACGACTACTGCGTATCATTCGATGCACGTTAAATCGCATGCATGACGATTATTGGCGAGAAAATGATTTTCCTCTGCGAACCAATCGAGATCCCACGTTTGATCTCACTCCGAAACGGTTTCCCAATAGACTGTTCGTTATTGTTGCCATTTGCATGCGTCGATCGAAAAAGTGGGGGTGGCGGGTCGCTTTGATCCTATCGCGCGATTCGCCCATACCTTTATATTAAAATTTCATGCCTTGCAGGAGCTGAAAGAGAGCTTCAATTACGGCCTCTTCTGCCCGCCGGTGAATGGAAAAGCCGGGAAATTCCTGGACGAGGAGCGTCGCCTCGGCGATTACCCCTTCAATGGACCTGTCGGGTACTTGGAGGTAAGGCCGCGCTCTTTCTCATTTCTCCCATTTTTCACGAGCTCTTCCGGCCGGTCACGTGATCGTTCGGAGAATCGATCGTGTGCGGATCTCGTTTACTATTTTGGTCATAGGAAAGACAATACCAGGCAGGGGGGGATGTTTATTTCAGTCGAACAGTTAGAGTTGGCTTTAGCGTGCCGCAAAGGCTTCCCGTTTTAGTAACGGAAGAGTTAAACAGCTTCCTCGCGTGCGCATTAAGGCTGTCAGAAGGCCCACTTCACGCCTGATAGGATCTAGTTACGTTATACGTTTCTGAGCCGAGTAGCGAAGGGAAGATAGGAGTATATTTCGTTATTACGAAACACGGCTGGTTAGAATATGCCAGTTGCATTTGTGATTGACGTGGATTGGGGACTATCGAAACGGAAGATTTTCCGCGTAATGAAGATTGTAATTGCCTAGAATAAATATCTCAGAAGGAAGGAAGTTACCTTTCCAAATAATACTTGTTCAATGCGAATGCATACATTGAAGAAAAAACAAAAGATAAAATTAAATAAACAGAACAAGATCTTAAGATTTTTTAAATTTTATTGCATAAACTGCAATTTAGTCTGCAAATTGGATGGAAATTGTGTCAGATCAATATTCTGACGTAAAGATTTGAATTACAAAATTTAGTCTACAGTAAAATGTTAATAGAATTGGAACAATTGTGTGCACGATATAAATGTGCTCGCAACTATTAAAAGATTTACCAAATTTGTGTATAATATGAGTATATTTCCGTTTGCAAGATTTAATAAATCAAGCAATAAGTACGATGCAAATGTGCAATGAGAAAATATTGTAGTAAAAATATTGTAGTTAAAATTATCTCTTTTTAAATTCAATGATTTTGCAAAGTTGAACTATATTGTAAAAAAAATGTTAAAAAGACATAAATTATTATATAAATAGTAAATTTGACGATCGCTCTACCGAATGTGTGATATAAAAATATTAAAATTATTACAACAATTTTATAATAAAAAATATATATAAAAACATGATAACATGCATCAAATATACATAATATATTTAAACAAGTATATAGTAATTTCTGTATAGTAATTTTGTAATTTCTGTATATATTAGGACCTTAACTTAGTTTCCGCCCAAAAAATACTGAGAAAAAGCATTTATTGTAAAAAATTTATTTAAATTATTTCAATGAAAGTATTTTCCATCACTTTCTACAACTTTTTGCCATCTTTCTGGCAACTGGGCGATACCATCTCGATAAAACGATGTTTGTTTCGAAGCAATCCATTCGTCCACCCATTCTCGCACTTCTTCAACATTTCGGAAGCGTGT